TTCAGAGACACGAAGTGGACTTTACAGACTTAGAGGCTTTTGCGCGCGTTACTTACCGAGTAAGGAAGTTGCCACGCGCTGCTCCCGGGAAAAGTTATGCTTTCGCCTCTTGCTCCTACCAAGACAGGAATAACGTCGAGCTTTCCAGGTGAAATTTATTTCCCAGTGTACTTCGAGCTTCTCACCCACCGAAGGATATGCCCGAGCGAACTCCTCTTGGCGTACTTGTAAATTCAACTTCCGTTATCCTGACGCATGGTCTTCCTTCATCCCTTAACCTCTTTTCCTCCCATTCCGGAACCCTCCCGCCTTCGCACTTCCGCTTCTCTTATACGACGCCCAGGTACGACGCGGACAGTGCACTTATTCCCGTGGCACCCAGTGGATTCGGCACGACTTGCGGCCGGCAGTATCATGCAATAGAATTTCGTGTCTCGGGAATGCTCGGTGCGAGCGGGAACAACGGACCACCCGTCCACCCGACTTTATTGCTGGGCTTTGGGAGCGACGCCGGCGTTACGGGAGGCGCAATGGCTCCGGGCTATTCGAGTAATTGTGACGGTCGGACCTTCCTGGAAGAAAGTGCAGCTTTATTGTCGGGCTTGCATCGGATTAGAACTGCTGTTCGCGCGTCAAGCTCCAAAGCGAGTCTACGTGCTGTTCCGCTATTTCTTCTCCCAGCAGGGGCTCACCGAGCGAGTCTTTCCATGAGGATGAGCGACGGAAGTCATACTCTTAGGGGTCAACTTAGGGGCAAGCCTGACGCGGACTGGAAGCGTCGCAGCTGTTAGTCTGGATTGCGTTGTCGAATAGGCAGTCAGTCTGACTGGTCGCGGTGTTTTTTTTTTTTTTTTTGTCACTCGACAGTCGCAAATGCCGAACGTCGAATGAAATTGTACTCGTGATATTTTGTGTATGAATTTTTTTTTTGAAATTTTTCTCAGGTCCAACGAAGGCACTGATGGGAGGGCGTTGTCGCGCCGTGAAAACTAATGGTAAAACTTTGAAAATTCACTGCCGTCCGCGACTGGCGTCCGAGTTTATCGATATCGCACCGCGTCACCCGTATTGTTTCGTTTCTCCTTTTATTTAGCTTTCTATATGCACGGCCGTATTTGCTTTTGTCTTCTTGCCCATTTTCAATCCGCTGTACCGAATCGGCTGGAATCGTCCCGACAATGCGACGATCGTAATTGCCTCGATAAATATCCATTACGCTTAATGAAACGAAAATCGGCGGGGAACGGGTAATGGGGATTGGTGGGGTTTGCAACGAACGATATTCATTACTCTCGGATGATTAATAATCTCGCCGAACGTTGATTTGGTGCGGGTTCGGCTTTAATTGTGGATTCGACTAATCGCGTGTCGGAATAATTGACGAGTGATTAGCTAGAATTGTATTCGTACGAAACGTATACACGAATCGAATCGGAATTAGAGTGTTAAGTTATCGGACATCTCGCAGCGATATTTTTAATCGACGAGCCGAGACTTTACGATTACTCTGGGTGTTATCAGTGCCGCGTGAGATTGATGGATAATCCTGGAGATTACGGGAACGATCGAGATATCATCTGCTAATTATCTTATTTCAGGGAGTCTACTGCTGCGAATACAGCAAACGCGGAATGATCATTTATCCCTTTAGGTAGCGGTTTCGTGTTCTGGTTCAACAAAGTTAAACCCCCCTCTGGCGCTGGCAGGGATGCTGGATGTGGCTTTTGCTGCAGTATATTGGCAAGTCGATTGCAGACGAGCAACCTTGACTCGCGTTTACTGCCTTTCGAAACCGTATTACGTTATGGTCGGACTTGCCGAAATTTCCTCAATATTGACATTCGCCCCAGGAACTTTCCGTGCATTGTTTATTTATGTATTTATATAGAGCGCACGATCAGCTTCCACTCGAGGCAGGACGTTTGGAGGCCCCCACGTGGTGGCCACGTGGCCTGAGGGCGTCAATGTCAGATTGACGTTTGATGAAAAACAAAAGCTTTCGCTCGTCTACCTCCGACGAGACGGCCTATCACCGTCGTCGAATCATTTTGAGGGATCCTGGTAATTCTTTAAAACTCGGTATTTTCTGCTTCTAAATAAGATAAAACGGTCCACCGTGTATTCTATTATTTGGATATCTTTCGTTCATCCGAAACGTATAAGTTAGATTTGCCTCTGCGCTCTCCCAGCCGTTTTCCAAATTATTATCCACGCTGGAAATGGTGATGTATTTTCAGAGTCCACCTAACGGTCCTACGCCTGGTGCATTTACTGGCTGTCTGGCTCAGTCAACGGTGCACTACCGTTTCTCTGGATTTATTAAAGCCATAAAAGGTTGCACAGACGCAATCTCGTCCTGGCTGCTGCACGCGGTCGGCCCTTGCGTACGGTTATGTTATAAAAGAATGCACGTGAAAAAGGGCTGATTCGAGATATTAAATTTTTACTACCTTGTTCGATCCACTGCGAAGACGACCTTAAGCGTCAGTCGTTGCGTTACGAATTTTTGTTTCTCGTAAATTTTTCGAAAAAAATTCAAATACGTTAATTTGAAATTTTTTTTATAATTTCCACGAATATATCGTTTTCCCATATTTTTCAGTGTCTGGAAACGATCCTCGTTATCGGCGTCGCGCTCTTGGAAACCTGGTCAGATACTCATTGCATAATAATCGCCGCATTAGCATCACAAAGGAGGGAAGGTTTTTTGCGTGTGCCTGAAGGTTCTGCCGTTGCCCGTTCTGCCCTGGTTATCTCAGGGCCGTTGTTTACGACGTCAAGGGTGCGGAAGATCCAGTTACCAGTAGACATAAAAGTGGGAGACTGGGCAAGTACGTCGTCCGGGGGTTGACGCTTGATAAAATGGAGGATCTACGTAGTCACCGGGTAGGGGAGATTCTTTTGGAAATTTTTTCCTCCCCATCCCGACCATGACTGCCGTAACTCCCAAAGGGGTGGAAAGAACGACAACTGGCTCCTTTGGATTATGACTGCCGAGGACCTGTCATTGGCTCCTCTTGGACATCCGGTACCCACCGGAACAAGATAGAGGGGAAACCTCGTCTTCGGGACCAGGGTCGAGTACTGGTCGAAAGGAACTTCAATATTGCTAAGATCTCCTCCCTCGTCGTCTACATGAGGGTTAACCCTCTTTGGACCTTTTTTTTTTATTTTCGACAGACATGTTTTACGTAAGGGAGGGACATGGGTGAGTCCTGGAAAAAAAAAGTTCTGACTTTGTTCAACATCGTAACTGTCCTCCGAAATGGAGCCTCGGGCTTTACGATAATGCTCCGGAGAAATCATTGATATTCTTCCGACATGTTTCCTACCCTTTTTTTTTGTTACGATAGAAAAATGCCCCTACGACACGTCTTGTCAGCCGTCATTAATAAAATAGAAATTTGACTATTTTTTGGGGAGAATTATTTTTTGGTTTTCGAAATATTTTGCGTGCGTTCGCGAAATTTTGAATTTTTTCTTAAAGGCGTCACGTGGATGCTGAGTGTATCGGAGATATTTTGAGAAAATGAGAGAAAGAGTATAGCGGGAGGTCAGTGCGTTGGTAGCACTGGCAATTAAGTCCCTTAGCCACTTTCGAATTCACTTATGATCTCGTACGACGCACTTGCTTCCTAGATAATTCGTGCTCGAGTTTCTAGGGCGACCAAGTTGCGTTATCGTGAACTTTCTTCCTGAACTATACTAGCGGCTATGTGTCAGCTGGCATCGCGTGATTCGCGTTATCAAGGACATTTGAGAATATGGCATGCAGCTTCGGGATTTGCAAAGGAATGAAAATTTTATTTTCCGATTTTTTTTTTTTTTTTTTTTTTTTTTTTTTTTTTTTTTTTTTTTTTTTTTTTTTTTTTTTTTTTTTTTTTTTTTTTAAATATATATTTTATGTTTGGGCTGATTGTAAAATGTCATCCTTGTAATTCCGTCCTGTCTTGCTCGGGAGATGTTGTGTCCGCTAAGCTCATTGGCTTATTTAACAGCGAACAAGATATGCAAATGAAATCCATGTAACGGAAGCAGCGGGTCGAACGGAGCGCGGATCTTTAAAAGGATTGAAAACTCGCTTGTAAATCTCGGGACGGCTTACGGGCCTTTAGGGACTTCCGTGCGATTCAGCGAGCCGGATAATTATTTTACTGTTAACAGCGGCCAACGTGGTGGCCCCGCGCGATAAAACTTTATTTCGCGTGCGCCGAAAGTTCATTATGCTTCTGTATCATTTGAAGTTACTCGGGCGGCCGCACTGTCGGCGCTGCAGTCGCCCAGGGCGTCCCTTCTTTTACGCAAGATTCGCGGTACGCGAAAGCGTCGCTCTGTTTTATCGAACCCTCTGCCAAAAAAAAAAAAAAAATCAATGGAAACACATTTTTCCTTTTCGATTTCCCTTTCGCTCCGCGTCCTTTTACGGGGAAAGCATAGGTTTTTTTTTATTCTTGTGAAAAACGATAAGGAGGATTTGTCCAGTTTTTTCACGATACTTTTTGCTCATTTTCAAATATCCGACATTTTTTACTTTTGCAAAATTTGATTTACACGCCATTTCATTTCGAGTAAAACAATTTGAGGATATTTTCAGTGAAATATTCCTTCTCTACCCCTCCGTTCACTCGCAACTCTAACCGAGCAGAAAGTTGTCGGGTTTTATTTCCGTTTGATCGAGGCTAATTTTCCCCGAGTAAGTCTACTTTTCTTGTTTGTTCGCAGAAGGGGATAGTCGCTCGGCGGGCAATCGTGATCCAATCGAAGCCTATATAAGTGACAAAGGAGCTTGAGCAGCGATCGATTCGGTGAGTCAGATGATTTCGTCTCTTTTACCCTTTTCTTTAAATTCTCTCTCCTCACCCACGTGCTTTCCCCCCCACTAAATCTTCTACTCAGACATCCTGCCGTAAGTCGCCTTCGCTGGCATCCCCTTCAGACTTCCCCTAAAATCTCTAATTACCCATTAATCGTCAGTCCTCCTTCCCCGTATATTCCCTTTAACTAAAATAAACTACATAATATTCGAGCCCATAAAAGATATCTCAAACGAGATAGATTCATTTCTCTCCCTCGAATATTTATTTCGCACTTGGAAAAATCCATGCATAAACGATAAATCCAGTTCCCTTAGTCACCGGGAACACGTATTTGGTCTATATAAAAGTAAATCGAGGAGTAAAGTAAGAGAATGCTACTCTTGGATCGGCGCCCGTTTCCTCCTTCCAGAAGCTACATCCGTTTCTCTCGCAAGGATTTCCATTGCGCCCGATGAAAAATAAAAGTGACGCCACCGCGACTCCCAATAATTTCAGGCACTTCGTCCTCCTGGATCTCCGAGGGATTTATTCCCACCTTGCTTAACTCACAAATGGCTGCCAAGAACTCGCCGGCCGGCCACGCTGTACCACCGGATGGCTGCTGGGTGGTGGTAGACCGGCATCTATCCCTGCCCATTATTTGTAGCTCCTAACCGGCAAGTGTCCTCGGTTGCGCAACAAGGCGTAACGATTTTTCGTCCCCGAAGGTCACCGCCGTCCATTCCTTCGGATCGGTGGATCTTTCGACGTTGGCCAACCGATCGACAGGGACGATACCCGTGACGAGTCTTTTCTCATTTCGATCTCTCTCCTATCGTTGCAATTAATCTTGCGCTTAAAAAACATATTTCCTCATCCACGTCCACGACGGATCCGAATGTACTCCCCTTGGCGTATACATTATATACCTATACTCTACTCGTTTTCACTTTCGAGTCCCATTGTTCCTTTCCTGAGAAAATTGTCTCGCTAGTCCGCCAGATAAATACCAGCCGTCCTCCGTTCTCTGTGTATGTCCCATATTTCAATTAACTTCGCAGCAACAGACACCAGCGCCACGGGAAACCGGGGGACTTGAAATTTCACCAAAACGCGTTACCCTCCCGCACGGTTAATCCAAACGCCGAACAATCGGATCCGTACGAAAAATTTTCTTCGTTAAAGGGAAATGCTATTCTCCCAAACGATTTGAATCCCGATTGCGCCAATTTCGCACGGTCGTCCTTGATTACCGTCGGGCTGCCTCCTTTATTGACTTCCGGCATACATACGAATGTTGCGTACGGTCGGTGCAAATATTACAGTTTGCGTTTAAGCGGCAAATACGAATAGAGGAAAGGGACCGAGGGTTCATTGTTTTCTACTATTTCTATACGTTCCTTTGTTGCCCGGATGCTTTTTTTTTTTTATTACCACGAATAAAAAAGGCCGTTGGCCTATTACGTTTGGGACCCTTAACGAAGGTGACGAAGAAAAAAGACCCCTGAATTGGTTGACGGTAATTTTTTTTTTTCAATAGCGTAAAACTCAAAAGCCCTCCATGCCCAGTATGCCAGGCATTGTTAACTAGTCGATTTCAATCTGGAGTTTTGTTGCAGTTTTCATAGTTTTTTTTTTCCTCAATATTGCAAAGTCGAACTGCCTGTTTTTTCGCTATGCATCCAGTACGAATATTCGCCGTTGAAATTTGAGCTAGGACTTTCGCGCTTTCGCCAAATGTATTTGCGATCCTCCCGATGGAAACACGGTAACTGGGGTATCTATGGCGTGCGGGATTATTTTGACTTTTTCATAGCGGAATACAAACACTGGATATCAGTATACGGATATGTGTCCTATATACTTTTTGACTTGTTCCATTCGGGATATTACGTTTTTTTTTTTTTTTTTTTTCATTTTGTAAAACGATGTTGAAATCTGTATCGATACTTTTGCGATACTTTGAACAGCCCTAAACAACACGTATACGAGTGAATTCGAGACCCGAGAAGATATGGGAATTTTATCTTTGCACCACGTTGTATGAGATACGGCGAGTCTCTTGGGACGACTCAGAATCCATTTGATTCGAGTATCAAGACGGGACGAAAGAAAAATACTTTTATCGGGACGTAAGATCTTTCACGTGTTTTCTGCTGTATCGCGTTAACTGAACTGAGCGTCTATTTGCGTTCGATAGGATTTTTCATTGCGACTGTCATTTTATCTTAACGATTGCAAGTAGCGTACCGAACCTCGAATGTTAATTGTTAATATTAATTATTTGTCAATTGATATGAAAAATGAATATCGTTATAACGAACGAACGGACGAAATTCCTTCGCGATTGAATCGCAGCTCGTAAACGTGCAGGAACTTTACTATGGCAACGTGCGAATAATACACCGTAACGCGGATCGAAACGAAGGATTAATTAATTTATAGCAACGATGGGTAATTGGTTGCCATAACTTGGAGAACCGATAGCGAAATCCCTCGATTACGACGCAGGAGCTGAGCCCGTGATTAAGCAGCTTTTCACATTTGCCGCTCGATGCTCGTTGTCCGATCGAATCCCAATTTTCAGCCTTTCACACGGGCCCATTGGGAAAATGTCCAAGAATATAGGGCGGAAAAAGTCAGTCCTCCACGAAATACTTTTTTTTTTTTTTTCTACAAAAGTCAAAATTCCACCGAGACCTGCCTCACGTTGCGATCGGCCATGTGTTTCTCGTGCAGTCGAAAAAAATTAATGCATCGGTCAAGCGTGAAAATTATCTGGTTTCGCAAATAACTAGAATATACAATTTTTCAAGCAGCATTCTCTTCTGCCATTTACGCAAGCGACGTGACCTTGAGAGCAAAGCTGAGCGCGAATCTAATTCATTCCGTTGTTACGTTATCGGCCGGTCAAGCATCCTAGACCCAGATGCCCACGTGTTACGAATGTTATGAATGGGGTTTCGAAAGGTTAGATCATAACCAGTTTGACTAACGCTCCAGATTTTTCACTCCACCCGTTAGATATATGTGGTATACAGCATGCCAGTCAATATGCATATAGATATATGGATATATATGCGCACGTAATCAGTCGAGCAAGAGACTTCCAAAGTCATGGAGTAAACTTGGCTGCGCAATGGTAAAATTAATTGCGGTTACGATTAGATTACGAGAATTCCTAATTCGGTTAATGAGAAATCAGTCGGAGACGCCGTCCGCAGTCGGCGGCGTCTCTTTTGCTTTTCCAACTGGCGATCTTTCGATCGCAAAGCTCGCGGAGCATTTCGCTTGGATTTCACGGCCGAGGACGTTGGTCGATGCGAGATGCGACCGAAAGGGACCAAAAGAAACTAGTGCCTCGGAGCCGAGGCTCTAGCTCTGTCGCAACAACGTGGCTGATTACCTGCCTTACGTCACAATATTGACGGGAAAGTACGAAGAAGCGTACAAAGCTGTACGGAGGCGCTAAAGTTACACTGGGAGCGCGTTGCCACTGCGCCTCTGTATAATTTTAACTTTTCAGCCACGCACTAGTCGCGCTTCCGATTCATTAATTTCGTCCTTTCGTCATTTTCGATGTGTTCCGAAATTACGATATTTCTCTTCTCCCACTTTGTGATTCCTGTCCTTCGTCTTGTATACCTATATCGTTAGGATTTCCATCTTGCGATTGTCAATTGGTTTGCCAACTGATTTCATACAGATTCCTATAGTCAGTGCTTTCCGTATTAATATTGACTCGACCGATTTCAAGTGAGGATCGATTTAATTGAAAATTTTTCTCGTATCGAGAGAGAGAAGAAAAAATAATTTCCGATTAAAATGTAGCATCAAACATCCTCGATTGATAATTCGAAATTTCCGTGAAACTCCACGTGACATTTCTATCGTCTACATTCGCGACAGACAGATTGCTCCTGTTTTCTATTTCTCTGCAGGGTCGATCGATTTCGTAGTTAATTTAAACGTGGCTGAATATTATATATGGTTTTATAGCCGACTTTTATGATTCTACATTCCGGTGGGAAAAGTTGTCGAGTAGCCAACTAGCGAGTTACGAGTTCAGAGCTTCTTATCCAGAGTAGCCAGAAATGTTGTGGAGGTAGAGTGGCGAGTAACGAGGAATGAAAATTAGGTGTGGTGGGGGGTGGAGGGGTGGGGTGGTGGAGGGGTCATGAAAGTGCCCGTAACACCAGGCTGAAATAAGTGTAAACGAAGAATAGCAAAGGAGAATTCCCCTCGAAACCGGAAAGCCGTTGCTCAAGTCTCGAGAGCTAACAGGAACGTAATTATTATGGCTGGGTTACGTATTCGGATGTTCTTCCGCTCCTCGAATCTTCTCACATACTAATCTACGTGCACAGACGGATTCGAACAATGGCGTGGCCTCAGGAGCGATTCCCATATTATGCAAATGCCAACCGCCTCTGCCTTCCTATACGGGAGGTACAGACTGAGACAGGTATAGGATTCGCTATGCGCTCAGAATTACACCGGAAATACTTTGACTCCCGCTTCGCGTCACTTTGACGATTCGAGACAGGTTCGGGACAGTTTAGATATCTGGGATTTGTTCGCTTATCGAATTTGCGAAATCGCTTCTCGCCAAGATCGAATACCGTGTATGGGTGATATGTAACGTGCTACATATCTATATATCTTTGATTCGGTGGAAATAGAAAAGTATCAAACTACTGGAAAAGCGGTCGAAGGGTCTTTCCGAGGTTGCTCCTGGTACACTTTGCTACCTTGGATCCCATTTTCGCAAATGGATACGGTCACTTTAATAGGACTTCTGTAGCGCGATCGGGCTTCTCGTACGAATGATCGTGAACTCGGAACTTTCGGCCAGACCGGTAAATTTTAAAGCAGAATTAAAGTTTTCGTGTAGTAATTTTTATTTGTATTACCGTCGTAAAGAGTCTCCGGTATTGTATTACAGTTGGTTGGTTAGTTTCGTTATTTAGCCTTGGTGCCTTATTGTTATGGTTTTCTACTTTTCCCAC